TGCGCTGGGAGTATTAACGTTGGGATGGGTAGGGTAGGTGGCCTATCCTGTCAGGACATCCATTGGCTGCTGCTACCAGGAATCACCGCGGGTCTGGTCCTTGGCCTCTAAAACACCCTAAGAAAAAAAGAAAAAGAAAAAAGAAAGAAAAAAAAAAAGGAAAGAAAAGAAAAGAAAAAGTTCAATTTAAAAACGAATAGCAAGCTACTGAGGCCTTGTCGTAACACCTCATGCCTGGCCAGAGGTACAGTCAGATGCATTGTGGACAGGGCTTCCTGAGAATGCCTTGAAAAGAAGGAGATTGTGGACAGGGCTGCGTGAGAATGCCTTGAAAAGAAGGGGGCTGACAAAGCAATAGGGCGTCCTCCCACTACTCTCGACATGCTCAAAAGACACAAATCATGGCCGTGTATCTTTCCATGTTCTAGCGGAAAATTGATTCTCATTTTGCACAAGGCCCATAGATTGCTCCCCCCGCCTCTCTCACGCGGAGTCGCGTGAGAAACAGAAGACATTCTTCTTCCGCAAAAAAAACAAAAAAAAACAAGGCAAAATGCCATTTCAACCTCTGAACCACTTGTTGACGTGTATCTACCCATGTTCTACAGGACTATTCATTCTCATTTTGCACATTCGGTGAGTCGTGGAGCGAGGCCCTAGATCTCGATAGCTCTTTTTTTGCCTTTCTTTTTAGTAAAGCCCTGCCAACAAGGCAGGGCACTCCCTTCTCGTTTTTCAATACTTCATAGCAGTAAACAGATGAATGCTTCCCATATTTCTCGGGAGATGCAGTTCAAACTGAAAAAAAAAACAAAAGCAGAAACGCCCCAGGCCCAGATCGTCTGCCCCTATTTTGAAACGGGAAAAAACGCCACCCCTCAAAAGGGAGACTGTGAACGGCGCCTTATGCTGCTTTTCGAACGACCTGGACAAGCTAACCTGCCCTGTGACCGGTCTTAGGGACGACTGCGACTGGACCCTTTTTCTGCTTTCGGAAACCCCAAATGGACCCATCCTAGCAACGCTGTACTGCACGACATTACCCAAAATGGAGAGGACACGACACGACGAAATGTAAACCACACAAGGCGCACCCTCCTGGCTGCGGACTGGCCTAGCTCAGTGTACGCCTAGCTCAGTTGGTACACCCCCCATGGACTGAACTGTTGAAATGCAGACCAGGTGCTGAGTTCAAACTCAGCTGGAAGCAGATAATTAATATACTACTACATTTCTGAATTACCTAGGGCCGGTCAATTCAATGATGCAGTCTCAAGGTCGGCGCCCTTCTTTAACAAAAAAGGGATAGAGAGATCGGAGAGAAGGGAGACGGAACCCTATAGAGCGTGTAAGCAACACTCTCTTTTCCGTCTCATTCGCAGACACACTCACCTTGTCAGAGCATCGCACAAACACGGCCAGTCACTCTGCAGTTTGACGAATAACCACCCGCATTCCACATGCACTACGGTAGGCATCACCCCTCGCTGTACCCTACAGCATAGTTCATACATAGTTGCCTCCTATAGCCCACATGAACAGCGAGCTAACTCAACCGCGATGGCACAGAAGGAAACACTCGCACTCCGCTCAACCACGGTAATCGACAAGACATTTCCTGACACAGCCTGCAGCCTGCACCAACCAGGGCGTTTATCGAGTTATTAACCCACGTAAGGGGACACACACACAGGGCGTTTATCGAGTTATTAACCCACCAATACCTCTGCCTCCCATGGATGGTGGCAGTTGTTTTCTTGCTGGACTCGAAGATGCATAGGAAAATCAACAGTCAGTGAGAAACTTGTTGAAGTCACACGAAAGGAGATGTCACACGTCTCCTGGACGACGGGTGGACGCCTTTCTTCCTTTGCTCGCAACTCGACCACTTAAGTTTCTTTGCCTGCTGTATCTGGATGGCACTGAACACACGACCGATTCTTCCCCCTCCCCCTCTCACCTCCCGACACCCTCATGAATCCATGCCCCTGACAGACGCCAATCCTTTACCCTTTATGAGTCGCTCCCTTGTCTTGCCACTAGGTACTTGGCGGACTCGGACTTCCTCCACAGATGGGGAAACGGCTTCTGCAGCTGAGAGCCCCAAAGGAGATTGAGGAAAGTGGTACCGTCAGTAAACCTACTTGTGGAGGCCGAAAAAAGAAGCTCCGGCTTTCTGCAGCACAGCCAGAACAATAAATGATCTTCCGGAAAACAAAGAGGCCAGCCATCCATCCGCCGACCGCTCTTAGGTACACAGCTTAACACCTACACGGACGTTAAAACACCTCAGTTCACATCAAGACGTGCAGCTACATGACACTGTTCAGCTGCCGACAATTTGTGCCTATTAGAGCACTCTCTCTCTCTCTCTCTCTCTCTCTCTCTCTCTCTCTCTCTCTCTCTCTCTCTCTCTCTCTCTC